TTTTTTTCGAGGAAGAAAATATGCGCCAAGTTCTCAAAGGAAAGTTAGAGATGGCAAAATTCTTACAAGAGACATTGGTTAAAACGAAAGGCTCTGGTCCTAGTCCTCAGACTGGTCTGACTTTGAATCAATTTCATGATTTACTCAAGCAGGTGAATCTTTGGTTTCATCCTTTATATATTATTGGCTAATTAATTCTGAATTATTTCGCATTTATGTACCTAAGGTTCGTGAATCCGGCCGACTGGCTGATCCTAAAGATATTGCTCGATTTTCTGCGTTGTTTGAAGATAATGTCACGCTTGAGTCACTTGACAGAAAGCACCTCAAGGCATTGTGCTCACTTTTGGAAGTCTCTTCGATAGGACCCAGTCGGCTCCTTCGCTTTCAACTTGGCTTGCGAGTCAGACAACTTAAAGCAGAAGACTTGGTAGGCTATTTGTTTGCCTTACATTTATTTGGCTTTGCCTTTTATTTAATTCTTTATTTTATCTAGCTTGTCCGCAAGGAAGGTGTGGATAAAATACCTCCTTGGGAACTTCAAAGCCTTTGTCGTGAACGGGGTATGCGTGCAATAGGTATGACTGAGGAACGGTTACGGACCCAACTTCGTCAATGGCTGGAGCTTCACTTAGAGAAGAATGTTCCGATTACCCTTCTGTTAATTTCGCGTGTTATGTATCTCACAGAAACTTTGCTTCCGGATGCACAACAACTACAGCTGGTAAGTTTCTAATTATTACCATTACTTATTTAGAGTTTACAATCCATGATATCATAATTGCTAAATATTCCATATATTCTACCTCCAGGTGATAGCTAAGCTCCCCAAAGCTGTTTCAGAACAGGTTGTTATCAATGTGGTAGAGGCCTCTTCTCCGGATGCCCTCGACGTGCACACTAAGATTGAAATTCTGAAACAAGAGCAAAAGAATATTAAGGAAGAGCGAAAGGCTAAATTAGCGGAAGCTGCGGAAGAAGCTATGATCGCATCTGCTTCGGCATCTAAGCTGAAAATACATACTAATTTAGAACTTTCTGACAAAGCACCACTCCTGAAAGGCTTAAAGGATGAAGGTAATATTTCATGCCTACTATTATAAATTTTCTTATATTATATTGGCTATGTTTGCTCTAATTTGGACTCTATTGGTGTTAAGGCCACAATCTTTATTCTTTTCATAAACTCTTATATTCTTATCCTTTATGGATGTATCACATGGCTTGTATAGTACAGCTGGTGTATTATATTTAATGTATCATTAGTCCATAGTCTTCAACTGTTTATATTAAGTTTGGCGCTGAAGTATTGGACTAGTAGTTCACATAATTTTTGGGAGATTTATTATCTAGGTAAATTTTACCTCATGGATTTGCATGAGGTAGTTTAGTCTGTATTATATTTTATTTATATTTAACTCTTTCTGAACCTATTTTATTCCGCTTTTATAGTACTTGCCAATGCTGAAACTAATGAATCCCGAGTGAGTGCATACATTAAGTTTCTTTTTTATTCTTTTGACTATACGGAAGTTGAATTTGATTTATATTGATGCGGTGTTGTTTCTTTTGCTTAATCTTTTCTAATAGATTCCTGTTGAATTTGAATCCTCTGATATTACTACCTCATCCATGGTGATTATAACTTAGAATCCAACAAAGCCAATTTCATCTTCTTGATTTTTACCAATTTAATACGATTAACTATAATTTATTCTCTGGGCTACTAAGAGTATTCTTATTTTGACTTTTTGAGTTTATCCAGTCAATCACATTTTAATCTGACCTTTCTTAGTTCTCGAAAATCCTTTATTGAATGTTTTTTCCTTTAAGAGGCTCTCTACTTAGGTAATTTATATCTGGCTTGCGAGAGACCTCCATATCTCTCTAGGATTCAGAGTTCATAAATTTATATATATATATTCGTCTTAATGAATAGTTTGTCTCTTTCGCATCGGGCCTGATCACAAATCGGCTCATTGGAAACAAGGGACTATTATTAAACAATATAACAATTTCACTATTGATTTATAACATATGTACTAGGAATTGATGGCCATGTAGATGACCAGCTTCATCGGTATCGTATGGCTCGAAGAACTAAACCTTGAGGACTTGTGAACTCGCTGCTTTGATGTATTGCTCGACTCTAGCAAATTTCTCTTCATTATATCGATTCATTCCTTTCAGCTGGTATTAAACACTTAATATTGATGCTGTTATCTTATCTGAATGCACTTGTCTTGCAGCAGCTTTTCTGCCTACCTTGGATGGCTTTGTTAATTTTATTGGCTCCACAAGTTCCATTTATTTTCATTTCCTCTTATTATTTTGTTATGAGGATAATTCTCTTTTGATATAATGCACTTAATTATGGATTTTCAAAGCAGATAAAATCACAAAAGTAATGTCTGGGTATCTCTTGTTATTATTTTCTTTTCGTCACTCGCCCAGGAAATTGCAGATTCGGCCTCCAATGTTGCACCACTTGCTGGTGCTCGTCAGACTATACTTGCTGGTCATGAAATCGGTCCTGGGGCCGCAAGTTCATTGCCCAAATTAAAATTAAAGGATGAGCTGGAGCCCGTT